GACTTTCCTTGGCGTTTTGTTTGCAGTGATGTCACTTATTGTGTCCGCGGACATTGTCGTTGATCAACCATGACTCTGTAAACAATAGCTAGAACCGTGGCACTTCTTGACGGGTCAAATAATCGGAGCTTCTTCGTCGAAACACTCGTTTTCATACGCACCGAGATTGTTATAATGACGGTGGCTACAAGCACTGGAGTAGTTTTGTCGAATTCAGGTCATCCCTTTCTCACATTCTTTATGAACACTGTCCATACAAACAAACCGCTTTCCCGATGCAACATGTCCCGTGACTAGCACAGATGTTGTTCAGTTCAGACGAATGCAAATGACGTTTAATCGGCTGATCAATAAATCTCGTTAGTCAGTAATGCACGAAGTGTACGTAAATCCACAACCACCACGAGGTAGCTGGTTCGTCGATCGAAGACGCCCCAGGTCGGCAAAACATAAGACTAACTATGCGATGCACTCGCAAAATGAATAGCGTCAGGCTATCTGTTCCCGACACCTGTTCAAACACTCATGTACCTTTACCCCCGAAGTCACCGTGATTTCGTTCCACTATTGTTCATTTGTTAATTCATAAACAGCTCGCATTAACACACAAAACATATGTTTGCTTACATTGTGTGTTCTTAATTCATGGGCGTAGCTCGTGATTTGGAAAGTTCCGCATTCTTTAGTTGATTTTGTTTTTCATTTCTTACCTTCGGTGATACATTCATGGTGATAGTTTTCCAACTCCCGTTTCCGATTTGGTCATTTAGTGCCGATCCAGCCATGATGGGATTTGTCAATTTGTACTATCCCGGACCACCGGGACCTTACGGTACACCTGGTCCCACGCCAACTGGAATTCTCACCCCAACTGGATTTTATCCTCATCCACATCATCCGAATCCTCCGCTGATGGTTGGCCCACCATCCGGTCCATCCACTCCCTTCAATGCTTATCCAACCATGCTCCAGCCATCCTATCCGACCACACCGTACATCGGTGGACAGTCTGCTGTGGCTGGTCTGACTGTCCCGAGTGCTGTCCCCGTCACCCAACCGATGCTCAGCTCAAGTCCGTTGGCTTACACCTCACCATTGTATTGGAATACACCCGTATCGGCCTCGATGATTGCCGCCTCTCTCGGTGCAAACACAACCGGTCTAGGGTCAACAGCTGTAACCACCGTGGCAGACATGAACGGAACAAATAAATCCAATCTAGTGACTGGCACAAATCCGTACATCGATGTGAGTTATTGACATCATGTTAACTGCTCTTCTTTCTCCTCCAATTATTTCTTCAATTCGTTTTTTGAGAAGTATAAACATCCGTTTCGAAGTCATAGGGACTGTTTTTTTTTATTTAGTTAGTTATAATTTTTCCCGTTTGTTTCAGTTACGGGATGCCAACAACAATTCGTTTGTGTGTTTTTGGGTGCGGGTGGTGGATAATGATACCAAAGAATCCGTGTCGACGATCAGTTCGAATGTTGGCGATACAGAATCACACCGGAAGGTGTCAGCTGCATTTCACACCGTTGCCACGAAGCGATTATCGCAGGTGGTGGCCTGCTCGTGACGTTCATTTTCGAATGCGGAAAAATCTGAACCAGTAACGCCTCCAGCCGGTACATGGTATCATTAGCATCATCATCATCATCGTGCGGCGAGAAACAGTGAAACGAACTTCGCTGATCGCTACCAAGCTTGCAGTGTGCGTTAATTATGTGATAAAGTACAAGATGGAGACGAAGTAGCAAGCTTACTTCGAGCGAACCGGCGCGTATGTACACCCACATTTATCTCTAATTCTGGGTCAAGCAAACACTGGAAACACTTCGATCAGTTGTGCATATACAAAATTGTCTACCTTCACCCGCGAGAGAAATCTGGTGTGAAGGTATGGAAACCCTGACCATAGGACCCGGTCGCACGAAGCTTCCTCGGGGGGGGGAAAGGGGTCATTGTAACTGTCATTCAGAGACACTGAGTGTCTTAAACAGTGGTGCTCATGTACCCACCCCGTTTCCTCGCAACCTGAAATCTTCACATTGATACTGATTTGTCCTCTATTCTGTCATTCAAACGGGCTGTCAAAATGTCGTAACGAAAATCGCTGTACGAACGTTAATAGTTCCATAAACTGAGACTACAAATTTTGAATTAGTTATCGTTCATGGGGGAAATTCATTTTACCGATCGCTTGATCAGAGGACACTGTCAGGAATTGAACAATACGAGACACTCTGACGTTGGCCACGGTGATCAGTAATATGTTATATTATTTATATATA